CACATATCACAGTAAGCAAATGAAAGTATTTTATGCATTTTTAACGAAAGCCGATCACAAACTTCAGTAAAGACAGTGGTTTCAGCTTCTGAAGATCTACTGTTTAGAGGAGGGATATTGGCTTTATTGGACAAAGAACGATGAATAAGGAGGAAAAGAAGAAGACGACAGAGAAGATCCATGGATGCAGCAAAGGTGGACATGCAGAGGGTTGGTGTGACAGAAGAGAATACCAGGGATCGAGTGAGCTGGAGGCAGATGATGTGCTGTGGTGATCCCTAAAGGGAGCAGCTGACAGAAGAAAGACAGGGTTCAGTGAGAAATCAGGTACGAGTACTCTGCTGGTCCTGCGCTGGGAAATTCAGCTGTAGAAATAAACGCTTCAGCTATGATGATCTAACATCATGTTAAGAAGAAATATCCTCCCTGCCTTCATTTTTCCAGCACAAACCTGTAGTGTAACATCTTACTGAACAACAGTCAGTAAATTGGATGCTTAATATAAGGTGGTATTGTGTCTTCACTTTCTATTTGGGGCTCGTTGTCTGCTACAAACTCTGCTGAAACAAAGTGAGATCGCAGCTCTTCTGAGAAAGAAAATGCAGATGGAGTGACTCACCATGAAATATTTGATCATCTAATCAAATCTGAAGCCCGGTCTTGTTTTAAGAGAGTCTGGGTGTATTTTTAGACCCGACAGCTTGCGTGTCCCACTGTCCTGCTCTAGATGATATTGTAACAGGATTATAGAGTCATAAAGTGAGTGTGTGTGTGTTTGAATGTTGCATGCTCATCCAAACAGACTGCTGAAAGTACTTTTCTGCCACCGCCTCCCTCCATAAAGTGGCCTTTGAAATGCACAGCTAATGACCATGCAGCAGTAACAAAAGCCTGAGCGCTGGGCCTTTAATGCTGCCAATTGTAGTGATGATAATCACACACTGAGCGCAGAGAGGGCTCCCCCCCCCCCGTGAACTTCACTCTGTGTTTTCTGGTGAGTGGGCCTAAAGAAATTCACCACATCAGACACACAACGTAGTCCTGCAAGTGTGAACGAAGCATCACCCCACACACACACACACACACACTCTCTCTCTCGATCTATTTGTCCCCCTCAGACACACCCACACAGAACTGGCGCCAACAACTAAATCCCCCACCCCTTTTCCTCCCTCCCCCCGTTAGCTGACCTCTAATTATGTCATGCGAAAAAGCTGTGTCCCATTGAAAAGCTCCCTTAATCAAACCCAATTAATTCCGCTTTTTTCCCTTATTATCCTTTGCAAGGAACGCGTCTTTCCAATAAGACTGTTAACTCCAACCGTGGCGCTTTCAGATCTACTCGGGTGCAGGAGCAAAATAATAGACTGC